ACCTCGTACCTACGTTACATCATAATAACGACTTTAATTAGCGCAGCATTGTGCGAGGGTTGCACGCGAAACGGAACGAAAAAGTATTTATCGACGTATTATGTATGCATTTTTAAACATCTACAATGGAGATATTCTGATAACTTACGTATTCTGCAAAAATAAAAAAAAAGAAGAGACGCAACGATGGGACACATTTGAAACGGATTGCATCAAAGGGTGCTACTACGCATCTACAGTAAAAGTTTTCACTAAAAAATTTGAAACGTTTTTTGGCAAAAAATTTGAAATATTTGTGCACGTGGTATACATATCTGTATACTGCCTACAAATAAACAGTCATGAATGGTTTGAAAGCTCTGTAAATAAAAAAAGTGCCATATGTATGTATAAAACGTAGTTTGTGTTGCGGCAATTAAATTTTAAATTCCGAGTGTGTGCAATAAACATCGATAAATTCTAACAGAGTAGATATTGAATGATCTGTCATATAAACACGCGCGAGGAGAGCATCGGCGTCTAGACGAAGTGTGAAATTTGCAACGGAATCGCGCGATTATTGTTGCGCCATTAAATCCGCGCCCACAAGCGATAGCAGCTGCTTTTTTGCCGCATCTCCGCCGCTCTTCTTTATCGCCACAATATTTCGTTACGGCCGATAAAAAGTCGCGTGCGTGCCTCTATAAATATCCGTTAAACTTGGGCTATAAAAATTCATATTAAATTAAACAGCATAGCGTTAATAAAACTGCAAAGTCGCGCGCGTGGCAGAGTTTACATATATACAGACACGGTGAAATGATGTACGTCAAGTTTATAAGATAAGCGTAAAAGTTGCAATGATGCAACTGCGATTTATAGGTCGTAACGTTTTACTCGCATACGCATCGATCGTTATTTCGATACGCGGATTGGTTAAAAATTCTACATAGACGTCGATTTTTTGTTTGCGATCGCAAGAAATATGATAGCTGGCACCAATCAGCCAGAAATATCGCGCATTCGGTACCTTCATACGTAATTGTATAATAATAAGAGTTAATGGCTTCTCTTGTTGACGCATTCATTCCATTACTGCAGTATATGTAAGCTTTAATGATTTTCTCTTGGATAAATATGGGAATGGTCATAATTTTGGGAACTTTTAAATGTTTTGTGAGGCCATGACTAATCGTTCATATCACCACAATTATCAAGGCTGATCGCGTGTTCTTTATTTAATCGAGTTTATGAAATTTAACTTAATAATTATGTGATACAAAACGTTAATTTGTTTCTGTCTAGCGCGAGCAAGTTAATGAATATAATGATTTAAACAAAGTTGATAAATTATCTTTCAGTTTGTATATAATTAAAGGAATTATATACAAACTTAATTAAAGGAATTATTTTTCAAAGAGCATTTTTGCTAATAGTTGCTGTCATTTTTTTACAATTTCCGCAATTAATCATTTTTACGTCAATTGAATTGCCATTTCAATTTCCTTTGTTGCACTAAAACGTATAAATAGTCCAGAATAATGATGAATTGTAAGATAATGATATTGTTATCGACTCGTTACGATACTGTGTTTATAGTTCTTCAGGTCTTTTTTCGCTCATTGTGCAATACATTTTACGATTAATTAGAGATCATGCTATTTCGCGAAGTACAATTAGATGACGCGTCGATTTTTCCCGCGACGAGCGTCACTTGGTTATTCTTCGCTCCTTCAATCTAGTTGATTCCTCAATTTGCACCAATAAAATATAAATCGAGACTATCAGTTTCGATTATTAAATTTCCACGGCACTTATTTCAAGGTATTTTATCGAACGATACACTGTGTGTGTAGCGTCACAGTAATTATATTTAAAATAATTACATAATTGATGATTATTGTGTCATTATTGTAGCGTTAATACTTTTTTAATAACTATGCTTATAAATTAGTGATTATAATACTCTTTTATATGACTGTTTTCTAATATCATACTTACAACTGATGGCGCAATTCAACCTCTAAGTATGTCGGATAATTGAGAGTTCGCTGTATTATTCTTTTGTCTACCCTGATAATCCCTTTGTTCTTCTGACAACAGTGACATCAACGTGTCGCTTTATTTACTCGAAATAGTGCGGTCACAAATGAAATTGTATATTGTCTGCCATGTTTGTTTTCCCTGTTGTTCGTCGGTACGAAGCATAGAATGAAGGATCTGTCGTTAACTTTCACACATACAGATTAAAATTTGATCTTCTATAATTATTTCGCAATTTTTAAACTTTTCATTTATTAAAAGTTTGATTTACTTAAATAATTCAGTTTTCGGTATTTACGTGATATGAAGAAATCCACATTGTGAAACGTATTTCAATGAGAAAGAGTTAATCAAATAAACATGAACAATGTGTGTGTTGTGTATATTGATTTTATATATAATATCAAAGTCGAGTATCCTTAACTTCTTGCACATTCATCTTTCTTGACATATCGATTATTCAATTAAGATTCAAATATTTAAAACCTGTATATTCAATATGAAATGGATATTTTTTATTTCAATAAAATTTTAATTTGAGGATTGACTATGAAAATATTTGAAATCAAGTAAAAAAAATTGCGAGGAGCAATTTGTGCGTCTGATCAAATTTTCGCTAAGGAAATATTTACCCCCGGTTTGTTTGTAGAATCTGCAGGTAAGGATCTTACGGAAAAAGGGCAGATTCCATCGCCGTTAGATAAGTGAAAGATGGGTTCACGACAACCGATTTTGTCCGTCGAGAATGACCACAGACTTCGAAGCATGATGCGCAGCTATACTGGGTATAAGCAACAGACGCCGGCATGGCCAGAGCCAGTTCGCGTCCGACACGCGACCGACGAGGTTGGTCGTTCTTCGCGAAGTAGAAGGCTGCGAGAAGTGTATCGACGTTTCTTCGCGGCCTTGAGACGTAATAGTTCGTCAGGACGATGCGAACGGTTCCATGTGAAAGACGCTCGTTCGATCCGCAATTAGTCCGCATGTAGGGTTCTCGGTTCGCGCGTGTTACACTTCGACGTCTGCCCGCACGTGACGTGAACGGTGCTCCGACGCATTAAAGTTTAAATGCTTGATAACTTAATGACCTATTGCCGAGTGTGTGAAGAGTTCGCCTCGCTCGGGATCTCTGCACTCGTAAGTGCAGGGTGACAAATCCAGTTGATAACAATACGCCTCGATTGAATGTAATATTCTCGAGTGAAGTAATCATCATGCCGCGTGAATTATAAGTGCGTGTACATCAAAATTGGATCGTTGAAAAAAAAAAAGAAAATTTTCTTAAGAACAGCATAAAAAAATCTAAAAAAGAAGCTCGTGCATTATAGAAACGGAAAATTCAATATCCTCCAAAGGCAGCAACCACGAGATTATTTAATATTAAACACGAGCGGTAGGGTGGAAATTTAATTCTTGTACCTCAAAAGCTACGCTGGGAAAATGTAGGAAAACAATGAAAAATATTTGTCGGCGGGCTCGAACGTTGATAGTTGGCAAGTGAGAGGAAAGAATTTTTTTTGTTATCAAAAGCAATCCGACACTCTCCTCGTCTCTCATCGTCTCTCATCGGTTTTGTTAGCCTTCTACATGTATTCAAACATTCCTTATAACCGAATTGTCGTCTATATCTATATCGCGTGTATACGTATCAGCGGCTAGATTATCGACCATGTGATTGTGCACGTTTCAGTTGCAAAATATTTAGAATAATTTCTATGACGAACGCTTTATTTTATTATTCTCGCGCGTTTTGCAGATGAACAATTTTACAAAGCGGCTAAAAATATTTTGCGCATCACGCGTTGTACGTGGAAAGGCAAAATCGCAGGCAAAACTCCAATTAACATTATTTAGAAAAATGGCGAATGAGTCGCTGTAGTGTTGATACTAATAAATCGATTTCACATCACAATTATTGATTTTTTATTTTATTTGTCAATTAATTGATATCCGCGCCCCGGCTCTCATCTCGCTGTCATTGAATTTAGGACTTCATTGAGTTTCGTGTCACCGTGTACTACGAGATCTGTAATGAACTTATCCACAGGATACGTGTAATTGAACTCGATAAATAAGTTATAGCAGTGCCTCGATGCGAATCGAAAATATAGAGAATTGTAAGGCGAGCTTAACGGACGGACGGAAAGTATGCTGACTCCGCATGTCGGCCGCACTTGGTTAGTCATGGAGAAACTTCTCGTTTAATCTTATTTGAAAAAAACTTTATCGTTTCTCGATTTTTATATGTGGAAAAATACATTACGATGACCCGTAACATGCAATATTGTAAAATTAATATAGAATGAATGGTTGTGCGAAGAAATATTATACGAGAACGTGAACGAGATAAATATAAACGATGATAATTTTGGTTTTACACGTGGCATACGAAGATTACATAAAGACGAGACACCAGAATGACTCATCGGTGCACTCTTTTAACGCTTCTAATTTTAATGCAATATGTCTCATATCTCGTCTGCACCATTTATCCGTCAAAGATGCGAGCGATTAATTTCTCGTGGCCTTCGCGACTCCAAATTTACTCTAGGACAGGATGTGTCTTGCACAATGCACCGAGTATTTCTCCGGTCTGCTATTTGCGTACTTTTTTCTCGCTCTTTTCAATCCTTATTTACGTTGTTCAACATTTTATCGGTAGCACATTAATCTCGAAACGCCAAGCGCAAACTTTTGCGTTACACTAATTAACGTGCCGTGTTAATAGCTGAGATCTTTGTTCACAGAAAACAATGCACTTGACAGCTCCGTCTTTATGCATAATAACTTCAAGTTCATGGTTTTGAAATATTCATGGTTTTGAGATATGCGTTACCTTATTTATTATTATAAAAATATGAAAAAATTATATTTTCTTTATTTTAATTTGTTTATTACTTTTCTCTCTTATTATTTATATTTGTAAAATATGTTATACATTTTAAAAGATTTCTTTTTATTTATTTTTTTTTTACTTTGTGTAATTAAATAAGACAGAATACTCAGCAAATTAGCATAAAAACTTTTAAATTTCCAACCTGATCTTAAAAAAAATACGTAACATTACCGGATCTGACATTTCTGAGAACTCACGCGCCCTTAGTCATTACAGAAGGACATTCTGTGTCATATAAAATATTCTCAGTATAAAATGGTCGTATAAAACCTTGTTCTCGACTTTCGAGAGAACATGGTAATGTTAAAGGCGACGAATAGATCCATTACGAAAGGCGGAATAGTGCTCGACATCATTCGCATCTCAAGTTAACTTATTTTTCCCCCTTTTTCTCCTTTTGCTTTCTAAAGTAAGCGCCTCATGCCTTTCGAGAGGCAATTAAAGTAAATCAGAATATCTAATTAACGAACTCTCGTTAGTTATATCAGAGATAAAGAGTCCAGATAAAATGTCATAAGAAGATGAAGACTAGAGATAATTGAATTGTCTTACGTTATCGGATTACATCCAATTACAAATAACGTAAAAAAATATTTTTCTCAGTATTATAATATTAAACAAAGAATTTATTACAAAAAACTTTGCAAATTTTTCTACAAAAGATGTCGCAATTATATTTCTGCCTTTTAGAAAATTTACCTGTTACTTGGTATCGATGTGGCCTATTATTCTGAACTGTTAAACAGAATCAATTTCGTCAGTGAGGACACTGAGGGCTAGAAGTCGCTCCGAGCGAATTAATCGCCTGGCGAAGCCGGGCCTTAACAAACTGTCGTTCACCTCAAAGATAACGTCGCGTATTCTCGTTACGGAAACTTTACTGATTCCATTAAGACTTGGACGCGTCTTGCTCGATGTTCCCGCGGCGTCTCATGAATGATGCATTCCTATCTCGACATTGCGTCCGTTTCTAGCAGCACTATTTACCCGACAGGAATATTATGGCGATATCGGCGACCATTTGCTCTCGACTTCTTCTCGAAGCACTCAGTAAGGATGGGAATCAATTTTTCGAATGGCCGCTGGTGACGCCCGGCTCTCTGCCGGAGAGAGATTCGCTGTAGACAGTTCAAATTGGCTAGAAAATGAAAAGTGCGCGGAAGCTTCACGGCTTACGGCGATATGCAATAGTCGGATCTCAATATATATTTTAGCTAATTAAGGGATTAAAAATGTCGTCTCGAGCCTCGCGCTCTATCGAGTCGATTCTGATATAAAAGTTGTACTTGTTGCAGCGCCACGTACATATAGATTTTTAGTATTGATTTTTTTACGACAATTTTGTTTCTCTTTTTTTTTACGTTTTACATATGTGCAAAAATAATTTCTCACACTTAACTGATTGAAAGCACGAATGAAAACGATTTCTGACGCAGCGGTCATACAGTAAACAATAGCCAGCGTTTTGGCGAAACTCGAATAGGGACTCAAAGCACTAAATTGTCGAGTTATATGGAATATTCTCTTTCTCTCTTTCGTTTTGGAATTCTCTTGATACGATATCTTGCAGAGCGCAGATATTACTTGTTCATAAAATTGTGATATGTGCTACATCTTGGCTCCCGGCGTGATGTAGGCCATATAGCGCGGACTATTATTCTCTTACTCGATGTGTAATGGTCTCTCACAAATAACACTGCGAGGGCTGACCGTTCTGACGAAGAGCACATTTTGCGCGTGACCTTTTCTCGCATTTATGTCATCGCTCCGAAAATCATTACCAAGTATAGTTTCGAAAAGCATTCGTGGAAGAATTTATTCGCGTGTAAATCGATTAATTACGACAACAATTTGCAGAAATTTTAATAAAGAGAGCATAATTATTTTCAATTGCGAGGAAACGTAAATATTGTGTAAACGGGAGAGTTGATTCGCCGGTCGATTAATAATGTCGCTTATCCGCCGCTGTTCAGTCGCTGCAGCAGTCAGCTGAAACGATAAACAGTTTGCGTTAAACAGTAAGGCTTGAAAAGCTCGGTCGTATTACGCAACCTCGATGTAAACGCACTCAAACGCAAAACGCCGAAGATAAATAAAGGTTGGAGGAAATCTACTCTAGTGCAGATGCTGCTGCGACGAACGGAAACTTATAAATATCAGCAATAGCGGAGAAGGTCGGACGCGGAAGTCGCATCGGTCGGACGTTTCTCAAGATGAACGAGTATGCGCTTGTTATACCCCACGAAGTCGCGCCCAGATTGGCGCGAAGAGACTCGGGGACCATGAAAGTAACTCTTCCAGTGACCTCCTTCAGGAGACACAGCGGATGCGTTTCCACGCTTTCGCGAGCGAAACCACATCCGAAACTGGTGTACGTTGCAGTTCCGTAAGTTTTCGCAATTTTCACAATAAATAAAAAAAAAATATATCTACCGCGTAATTGAAAAATTAGGCATGTCTCTAATAAGTTGGCGCAACCAAGTACAATTGAATAAAACATGCAGAAATATATATTTTGTTTTTTTCTTGGCCAATTTGTCGTTTCAGTTGAAAATGGTAAGCGTGCCAATTCAAGCTTAAAATTAGCGTAACTGTTTGAAAAGATTGAAAAATAAGAATAAAATCATATTTCTTCACTATTACTTTATTTTCTACTTTGTTATTCCGCTCATAATTCACGAAAATTACCTTTAAACCAGCCAATATCGATATAATAAACGTTTCTGCTTTAATGGAATAACTTAGGCAAATCTATAGTGCTTCCATGGGCTTTCCATTATAATTCAAGCATCTTTTTTCATAAAATGCGTCCATATGGCTTATACATCTTTTTATAGCTTATACGATTTTTTACAAGAAATAGGTTCAAATATACCAATATATATATATATATATATATATATATATATATATATATATATATATATATATATATAGTAATTAAATTCAATATATATATGGCTCTCGCTGCAATTCTCTCTATATTTAAGAATATTTTCAAAATTTTTAATATTTTCTATTCAGAGCTATTAAATCGTTAAACTACGAGGAATTGAAAGAGAAATAAAAAAAATAGATAACTAATAGATAGACCAATTTGATCTAAATGAATTATGAACACAGAAATTTGTTATTTTACGTCAAAACATTTGTCAATATGTCATGGTATTGTTGAAAATGTTGTAGACGGTCAAAGTATTTTACCTGGGAAAGATGCATTAGAAAATGAGTTCGGAACAATAATTGACGGCGGCTGATAATCCGGCAATCACGGTTATACACGAATGCCATAAGGCAACCATTACCTTAATGCAATTACCCTAATGCATGAACACGATAATGCATGAACATCGCCAGAATTTCCTCGATACTGTAAAATGAGCTTTCAATGTGTATACAACATACATACTTATTATCAAAGATTACTCATACACGTGCCATAAACTAGGCTAGATAGGATCCTAAATAAACTAAAATATTTTTTGGTTAAAAATTCAATCTTTTTCTCGACTTATCACGCTTCGTCGTACATTGTAAAAAGAAATTTTCTTATTGTTAAAATGTATTTTTATTTTATATAAAGAATTACATTAAGTGATAGAGAACGTTTCGCAAATCTGGTGTAAATGTAAAATTTTTTAATAATATTACACAACGAAACGGTAATATTCCACAAATTACTATTACATTTTGACGTAAATAAAGTGAATTTACAGTTGTATGTGTAATCCGCTCGGCTCACTTGCAATGCGCCATGAATACAAAATTAGGACTGTTCTTTGGATAACTCCGACTATTCATGGCGTATGTATAGAATAACTGTAAATTTACTTGTGCAATCTGCTTTGTTACAACACTAGAAATTAATTTTATCTGCTAGCTGCATAAATTTACATATATATAGAAATTTATAATAATTAGTCCCAAGATTACCCATATAATTCTTGTAATTCTACACTTATTTTTTAAGAAAATAATGCGTTTTGTACTCGTCTTTTACGTATGCAATTTTGCAAAAGCATTACTCTGTTTTCTGCCATTCTTTATTGGCCGGCAGGATTTATGGCATTACTGTGACGGGAAATTTACCATTTATCGCTACTTTCCTGCTTTGAAACGCAGCAGGAAATGGACTCGCGTTTCGAAATCGATAACCACCACCTCGTCCAGCAATCACGGGCAATGCGGATGATCCGAAGACAAAATGCGCGTGTGTGTGTGTATGTGTGAGTGTGTACGTACGGTGGTGTACAATTGCTGGAATACACTTACGCGAACGATGCACTGGTGCATGTAATATACACTTCCGGCACAATTCGCGTGGTGCACACGGGCGGAGCGGCGTGAATTAACCGGCGTGCGCGGCACCAATTAGCAGTTTCGGTAAACAATCGATAGTACTCTCGCAGCCGTTAAATTGCGCGCCGGGATGTGTAATTAATCATTGGTACGTACGATCAATTAATGCGCGTGACGCTCGTCGCGGCGTAATGAGACGTGATCGACACGAGCGCTGGGTGAACGATAGTCACTTTGGACGTTAACTATCCGAACACTTTAATTTAATCTCGTAATTCCTTCTTTGACCTCGCATCTTGAGCATCTACAAATTGTTTGAGGATACATCGGATTTGATTCATTAATTTTGTTTATGTCAATCAGCTTGCTAATGAGCGATGCTGAATAATAAATTTATTATTGCACTCTCCATTTTTTTTTATTAGTTCATCATTTTTTATTACGTTTGCTTTTACGATAAAAAACGGAAAACATCGCGTCTACCGGCAATTAATAAATAACGTTCGCGCTCGTCCGGAGATTAATCATGGCCCGCTGAACCGGCGGATTGATTCATGTATGTGACATCATGTATGTGACGTTTATCAAAATTGCGCGCGAATTCGATGAATGTGAGCGCGCACAACTTACAAGCGCGACCGCTTCGCGCCGCGAGTCCTCAATAAACGCTGATGGATTTTGCCTGTAAATAATTTTTTTTGCCAACAGACTTTGCGAGCTGCGCTTGTAACTGACAAAAATAAATTGCACAATAATAAGCCAATAAATTGCTGGGGTTGAGTACTGTTGTCTCGTGTCGCGCGTTGTTGAAATTTACGGACTGCAATTTTGCATATTTTGAATCTGAACGCCGCAGCGATACACGCGCCAGAGATTTCTTCGAGTAAAGGCGCGGCCCGCGAGTCGGAAGTGCCTATTTATGTCATTTATATTTCAGCTGTAACAAATATTAGCTGTCTAGGCTTGGTCTTCTTGTCATGTACAAACAAACGCGCCTTGCGCCGGCCGGCCAGCCGGCCGGCCGGCGTAACTTGCATGAGAAATATCTTCGTACGCTTTACGCAAATTGCGAATAGTTAGTTTTTCACATAATACGTTTTCTTTATCAATCACATTCACGATCAGATAATTGTATGAAGTATAACCGCTACATCATTGACAGCGCCGAACTATTAGTCACACTCAATGGCAAGGTTACGAGATTAATCAGAGTTTACGTAATATGACACAATGATTGTTATCGTGAATGGGAAAAAACATCGCAAATCCATCTGACAACGCTCGCGATATTCTCCTCCTGCTGTACATAAATAAAATTTAATTAAGTGGCGGATGCATTATTGTAAGCGAACTACCGTGACCACGGTAACTGCTTGCTTCCGACTTTGTAGACTCTTTGAAAACATGCAATCTCATTGTTGTAAAGTGAATACAGTAGTGCGCAGAGAGTATATTGGAGCTATTCTATTTTCGTTTAGCCTTCGCTTCATGAGTTTATATGAGTCGACTTCTTCTTAACGAAGATTTAATTACTAGGTGCGCAATTAAGTTTCCGGGTTTTTTTTATCAATGCAAAATGGAAAATTTCAAGAGAAATACAAAAAACGGTTTATTCAAAGTATCGTCCCTCGCTAGCTACACATTTTTGCCATCTCTCTGGCAATACATGAATACCGCGACGATAAAACGACGCGTCTTTGCATCGAAACCATTTATCCAATCAGTTTTGCACTTCTTCGAAATTGGCCAAGTGTAGCCCAGCTAAGCCATGTGCCATCGACCGGAACAAGTGATAATTGGAAGGGGCCAGGTCTGGTGAATACAGCGGGTGCGGTAGCAGATCCCATTTCAGCGTTTTCATGGTGTCCTGGACGATGGAAGTGCGATGGCACGGAACGTTGTCGTGCTGCAATATCACTCGTTCGTGTCTCGTGTCCCATTCTGGCCGTTTTTCGAGCAATGCATGGTTCAAATTTATCAGTTGTTGTTGTCTTGTGTTTGCGTATCATTTTCATCCAATAACGCTTGCAGATCGGCGTCCTCAAATGTTTTTGGTCTTCCGGAGCGCTCCTTGTCCTCAGTGTCGAAATCGCCATTTCTAAAGCGTTTAAACCAATCTTCACAAGTAGTTTTCGATTGTGCATGTTCGCCGTAGGCTTTCTCAAGCAAACGGCGTGCTTCAGCTGCATTTTCTTTCAAGTTGAAGCAGAAAAGCAAAGCTTCCCGCAAATGCTGTTTATTTGGCACAAAACTCGACATCTTTATTGTTAGAAAAAATATTTTTGCGTTGCAATATGTGTTGGTATTATGACTGGTTATTGTTGACAGATGTCCAAGTTAATAAAAAAACACAACTTTAGACATGTATATCGACTACATGTATCGTTAGCGCCATTCATGTGTGAAACCCGGAAACTTAGTTGCGCACCTAGTAATAGCCAAAAACTCAATGAAGTCATTTTGATAATTTAATCTCAAATACCAGGTAATCCGCTTTAAAGTACCGAAAATTATATTTTGATCTCTGCGAATTAATTATAGAAACGCTCCAATTTTGTGAGTTAAGAGCTAGCTGATTGCTATGAATGTTAAATTCCTTCGAAAATGATATCAAAATCAGTACATTTGCATATAAAATAAATAAAATAATAATGAAATCCCAAGTGACGAAATTTCCGGTGTATTTATCCGCTTAGATTCCTTCGGGTCTTAATTAAATATATTTATGGCGTAATGTGAGCCAATAAGGATACAGCCTGACGCTTCTTGGCATGGAAAGAAGACGCTCGTTAGTATAATGAGGAAAATTTTACGATGCATTTTATGTTACACATAATTAAGATCGTGCCGACAATTTTTCCTTTACTCGCAACGTGTTGATCGTACACGGTGGCCGTAAATTTGCGTCTATGCTCCGTTTTACCTTATTAATAAATT